CAGCAGCTAACGAAGCTAATGAGTCAGTCGCGAAATTTCCTTCCCGATATAGGTTTATGATTCAATACGAGAAATTGTTTTTCATTCTTGAATCAAGGTTTATGATTCAATAAATTGTTTTTCATCTGTTTATTTATTACTAGTGTGTATCTCGTGCGATGCACAGATATATAAATTTAGAGAATATTATAATTTGACATGCATTAGATATATGAGAGTTTAATACATACGGACATTATTCATCATAAAATGTTCGTCACGAAAAAATTTTATATTATTAAAAACTTCTTTGTACACAACATTATGAGTTTGATTATTAGGTAACTCGTTGTGAGGAGCACGGGCCAACTCGAGCCGGACGCGGGCTGCACAAAGGGCTGCGGAAACTAGGCCTCAGTCAACTGGGTTCCCTTGTTGGACTTTTCTCCTGGGCTGCGGATGTTGATTGTTGTCGTCGAAAAAATTGCCCCCACGCTTGGACCACTTTTCTAATTTTCAACTGTATTATAAATTGTATTTTATTCCTACTTTAACTCTTTCATTCCTATTCTATGTAGATAGTTATTTTACATTCTCAGCTATACTAATAAAGTATGTTTTTAGTTTGAATCATATAACTTCCTTAATAGTGAGTTTAATAATTTATAGATTGAAACATAATTTAATGATTCCCTCTAATTTCTCTCCCCTCTCCCCTTTTCATATTCCATATTTTACAATTTTCTCCGAATAAACAAAAAATTACATACAACAATTATTAGGTTGACCATCAAATACATCAAAATAAGATTGTAAATAAACGTAAACTTTTTCTTAATAATTTTCATTTTTTTTGGAATATTAGTTGCAATGTTTCAGGTTCGACACAAAATTGGTTTGTTTGTTTTTTATTAATCGTTTATGAATAGGCTATCTATCTTAATTTTTGTTCAAAGTTATCCTTGACATGTGATTTTAAATATTTATATTATAAAAGCATGTTTGAGATAGATTTATGTTTGACCAAATAACGGGCACCCATCTCAATTAAGTGAAGAATGTGCATAGAATTGCATAGATTCAATAAAATCAAGACAAATGTGGCAATATATGATATAGAAATGCTCTCCTACCCACAGTGGATACATGTTAATATGCCCACCGTGTAGGTGGCATGCACTCATTGGTGATGTTAATATGTTTAAAAAATACATCACCAATGAGTGCATGCCACCTACACGGTGGGCATATTAACATGTGTCCACCGTGGGTAGGTGAGCATTTCTCATATATGATAAATTTGATAGTTACGTTAACCAGTTTTGTATAGGATATTAACAATATTTATCTATATTCTAAATTTTAAGGGAAGTATTATTGCTGGCCGACTTTCTGTTAAATAACTTTCTGTTAAATAAAAAACATAACAAATTCTATATTTTAGGGCAACATTTTGAGTTTCTAAAAAATAATAAATAAAAGTTACTATAAATGGCATGTAATAAATGCTAATGGGAATTTGACTAAGATTTAACTTACTATTTTTAAAAAATGATAAATCTTTTTATATAGATATAGATATAGATTCATACGACAAATGCTACAATCCCGTTATAAAATCATTCGGTCGGAATTTCTATAAATTTCGACGGATTGGTTACTTAACGGGACCGTATAATATTCCCGAAAATTTCACAAATTTTATTTGTAATTTTAAATATTGTTTCTCGATGGAACGAAAACAAACTATAAATGGATTGAATGTGTGTTGAAACGTTTCGCCGTTTCAGGTGTGTATTAATTCAATTCAGACGGAGCCTCACACACTGACGCGGTCCACACGTAATATTCACGCTACTCTCGCCGCAAAGGAAAGCAGCATTTCCAAGGTAACGGCGATGGCGGCGGCAACTGCCAGCGGCGGCGGTCTATCGGAGTTGTACTCCAGCTCCAAGCGGCTATCTATCGCGGTCAGAGATGCTTTGGAGAGGCTCGAGCGCCTCGATTTCACGTCGTCAACATCTTCGACCGCCGTCGTCACGGGGTCTTCCGATGATCCAGTTACTTCGATTCGGAGGGAGTTGAACCAGATCCAGTCGCTCTGCGCCGATATGGATCGCCGGTGGCGTTCCATAGCATCCAAGCCTCAACGCGATCTCTGGAAAAGGTTTTCTCTCGTCTCTCTCTCGCTGTGTATATGTGCGTGTCTTTATGAGTTTGCGAATTGTTTTTATTTGAATATGTTGGATCATTCCGGTTTGGATTCTTTTTTATCTGTAAGATCTTTAGGGAATCAGTTGTGGATTATTCGAGCTTTCTTTCTTGAACTTAATTTGCGCTTTTCATTTTTCGTGAGTAAATGCCGAAAGATTTTTAGGAGGTGTTGGTCGATCTGCAGATTTTCAAGAATTGATATCTTTGTTATTCAGTGGAAGGTTTATGTCGATTGTGATATAGTTATGATGCTGCTGGGGATTTTTAGAGATGGGATTGTTCGCTGTTGATCAAATCTTGGTGGGTCGCCTGAATGAGTTGGATAATTGACTCTGTTAAATTAGAGCAATCGGTTGTGGAAGTATGAGTGCACTTCTTAGGACGTGTGTGTGTGTGTGTGGGTGTGCGCGCGCGCGTGTGTGTGTGTGTATTTGTGCTAATGTTTTGATATCTGCCAGGATAGTCTGATTTGGTCTTCTTTGAGCTTGGAGGCAGCTTCCTCTGAGTTATATTCTTTTTGATATGCTGATTTCTGTGGGGATGACTTTATTAGATGCACTAGGAAAAAAATCATATTATATTCTATAACTTCTGTTTTTAATTTTGTTGATTTATATAGAGAACATTAATTCTAATGAACAATTCATGGATAGGACGGTTGGGATCGGTTGGTGTTAAGAAGAATATTTCTTCGGTGGTAGTAGTTCCATCTTTTTCTTTTTTCTTTTCAGTTGGATAGGATGCGTAATAATTGTTGGTACTGTCTTCCATGGATTCCGTTGCTGAAAAATCCATTTAAACATGTTTATCCTGTGATTCAGTTTGAACTTCTTGGTAGAGAAACACCATTCTGTTATGTTTATATATTCTGTTTTACTTTGTGGCATCCAATTTAAGGATCTCGTAGTATGTATAGTATTGGCATTATGTTGGATAAACTTAAATGGAATGACCATCTAAGTGTTAGATTCTGGCAGAAATCATGCTAAAAGAATGTTCGCTCAGCATATATTGTTACTGAATCCAGAATGTACAATGCAGTTCGATTAGTAGTCATCCATTTGCATGATAGCTGGAACTTGAATAGAGAGTTTCTGCTAGCAGCCTTAATCATTACCTGATCCTTTGCCTTGATTCCAGAACCAGAACATAGTATTTTTATATGCACCTGGTTTTCCCCCATCTTTTGGGTCTATTACAATTCCACTTCATCTTTTGTATGAAGGAATTTTGTGGTGCTTTTTTTGTGCAGGAAAGTAGAACAAGTCAGTGAAGAGGCTGAGTCATTCAGAGCTAGTTTGGATAAGTACCAGGCGAGGCGTCAAAAGCGGATACAAGAGGCCCAAGAGAGGGAAGAATTACTTGGAAGAGCTGTACGACATTTTTATGGGATTTGAGAGAACTTGTCTTTTTTTTTTTTTTTTTTTTGTTAAAAATAAGTTTACATCTGTCTAACTTTAGTCATTGTCCGTTGGTATTAGAGTGGGGATTCGCATGTTTTGAAGATTTTTGATGAGGAGGCACAGGCAATGGAATCAGTCCACAGATCGTCCAGGGTGCTTGAGGATACTTTCGCGACAGGAGTTGCCATTCTTTCCAAGTACAGCGAGCAAAGGGATCACTTGAAGGTATTTATTTCGAAGCACGTAACTAATACATCTATTATTTGAGTTTCTGCATTTCGATGCTGATAATTTAGTGGTAAAATACCTTTTCATAGTCGAGACAATTTCATATTTGGGTCTAGGCATTTACACTGAACTTCGAGTTAATTTTGATGACAGAATGGGGGTAAGAAGTAAGAACACACTATTTTTGTGATGCCAAGTAACTTTAGGATGCGCATCGTAACATTTCCTGGGATGTCAAATCATTTGTCTTTGGGCCTTATAACACCTTTAATCTTATCATGAGATACTTTTGTTCTTTGTTGATACTTTTAACTAAGTAGCCAGTGTGAGTTTAGGTGAATTAAGTACATCTAGATTTCACTGCTAAAAACTGAATGCTGTTGATGTTTTATTCCATAGAAAAGGCACTTTCTTTAGTCGTGGAAAACTGTTGCTTTACATATATGGCCACACTTCTAATTTTTCGAGAAAGATAGCATGAAAATTAGAAGCTGTTGCCATTTAAGAATTAATAAATTAGAATGTTGTTTTCTTCCGATTCTTCTTTGCTGAGAATTTATAGTTCATGCAATTGAGCTATTGGAGTTTAATGATTGTTGATTAATGAAATATTGCATTGCAAACGTTCCGACAACTGCTGCATTTACCTTTCTAGAGCATTTACTTGCGTTGGCCGTTAAGTGCACTCAATAAACTGTTATAAAAATCTGCTCAATTTGCATCACATTGCATTTTTTTTTTTTTTCTTCTCAACTGTTGTTCTGTTTTTCCGGCTCAATACAGAGAGCTCAAAGGAAAGCACTGGATGTTCTCAACACTTTAGGGCTGTCAAATTCCCTACTCAGGCTCATCGAGAGGAGAAACCGTGCTGACAAGTGGATCAAGTATGCCGGCATGTTTATAACAGTTGTGATCCTCATCATGTTCTGGAGGTGGACAAGTTGATGAGCTATACGAACCTAATTTCGAACATACACAACCCTTGTTCAGTTTATTGTGGTGACATGAAAAAGGTGAAGAAACGACACTTGGGATTTTTGAGTTACTAAAAAAGCATTTGCATATGATGGTATGAATTTTTGTCCTGGGAGTTACAATTGTAATTAGTTTAGATGACAACTGTTATCATCAGCACCTCCCGTTATCGACTATGACTTTGCTGTATTTTTCATGTAAGGCTATAGCCAGTGGGACGAGTTAAAACAGAATTTCTGTAGTTCGTTTTGGGTATGGTAATCAAGTTTCTGCATATATGTTGCTTTGTCTGTGAAAGTGTTCTATCTGAGCAAATCATGTTGTAAGTTGACATAATCATTAATCATTAGACGGGTTAGACCAGTCATATGTATTGAAAAAATGCAGATATTTATACTATTAAATACGTCGAAATGTCAAAGTTCCAACTTCCAAATATAAAATCTAGACTTGATCACAAGAGAGGTTCTAGCATGCAATCAAACAATACACAGCGCACACACATATCATGCCCGTCGGCATACAACGATTGTTCCCGATTTCGCAATAAAACACTGGCTCGACCTTTTTTTTTTGGGCGTCTTTGTTGATCTCAATTGTCCACCTGACCTCTTGCCACAACAACAAACAATCCCAGGTTCACCACACTAAGAAGCGCCAAAAGCTCGAAAAAATAATGGAGGTGGCCTCGGTTCAAGTTGTCGTTTATCCACCCGGGCCCACCATCCCTCACACTAAACACCATCACAAGCGTAACAATGAACAAGTTCATGTAATTCCCGAGCGCGTAAGTCGTGAGTGAAAGCCGAGCAAAGGCTTGTTGGAATTTTTAACCTTGTGCTAATGAAAACATCGCTTTTATCTCATGAGCATTCATATTGAATAATTGAGAATCAAACCAAATAACAGCGAAAGCGTACCTGAATTCATTTTCTAAGAATTCTTACGTTCTTTAGTTTTCTGAAGTGATGATGACTTCGAAACGATCTTGTAGCACTGGTATGGTCTTCCAAACGAACGAAACCTTATAGCAGATTCTTATCCGTAATTTTTATATCAGTATATATCCTTATGTATGTGCTTTTAAAGGGAGAAAGCACCCTTCAGAAATCTGCTACAGTATAATTTTTATGTTTATGTAATTTTCATATATCATTCAGTGTAAAATATAATTATTAATTTTAATAATAAATATTGATGATACAATAAAAAATATTTTACTCAGTTAATATAAAATGTAACGGTTTTCGTCTTAATTAACAGAATTAGTTTTTAGAAAGTTAGGTGCCACTCATGTATGATTTATGAGGAAAAAATTATGAAGTTTCATTTAATTGATTGCTAGCAGTTATATATACATATAGATATTGTATGTATTTAATGCTGAATTAAGTGTTAATTATACTCAATGCTTGGTCATTATCCCCCTATATATTAATCCAGAACGCGCTGAGTCTACGTGGTTGTTTCTGGTGCTTCGGAATCCTATGTAGAAAAATTACATGCTTCGTTATTAGGCATGAGTAAATTTTAATTTAATTCCAAATCAAAAATAATTAGGTTCGGATTACCATAAATATGTTGATTATTTATGGTCATGTTACATGTATTAATTGCATTTTAATATCATCTATACTTATATAATAAGGTATCTTATTTACCAAATCTAGTAGGTTGAAAAGTCAACGTAATTAATCCATTGCTATTTCTATCCAGAATTTTATTTAATTATTTTATTTATTTATCTTATATCCCATAAAATCAGTTTAAGACAAAAAATCTCATAACATCTGATAAGTCAAAAAAAGGACGTAAAATCTTTACTAAAATAAAAAAGGCTTTATTTATTTGTCTTATTTCATATTAATATCGATTTTGTCAAAACAAATCCCATAAAATCGGTGAAGTCAAAATTTGTACGTAAAGTCTATCTATACAAAAAAAGACAGATTCGAAATTCCTTATCTAATTCCTTCTTTTCCTTATCTAATTCCTTCTTATTATCTAATTGTATGAAAATTTGTTCTGAGTTTGTTCAATCCGCTAATTGTATTTGTATTATATCCCATAAAATTAGTTTAACAAAAAAAAAATCTCATAACATCCGATAAGTAAAAAAAAATACGTAAAATCTTTACTAAAATAAAAAAGGCTTTATTTATTATCTAATTTATTATTTAGTTGTATGGAAATCTGTTATGATTTTGATCAAACCGATTTCTGTATATTCAGATTCAGATTTTCTAATAAAAATAGAAAATCTTATTGCTATTTCCCCCTTTTTCTCCCGCTCCAAGTTTCGGGGGGTTAATCGGGTGCTGTCGGGCTCACTAGCGGTGTTAGCGGTTTCGGTCCAGTGGCGGTTCTTTGGCAGTTAGGAATTGTGGTTATGGTTGTGGTTTGAGTCCGACTTTGGGTGATATTCCGGGGCTTGAATTTTGACTTTGGTAGGCCTCCGAGTTGGGGGCAGTTTCAAAGTTGGTCTTCTTTCGCTGTGGGATTCACTTTAGGTCGACTTGGTTATGTTGGCTCTACTTGTCTTGCTACTTGGGAAGAGCTTGTATTGTTGTTTAGTTTCGTGTTTGTGTTTGTTTTGTTTAGTTTTTATCTGTTTGGTATGCCTGTGTTTTTGGTATGGGCTTTCGACCTATGTTTTCCCCCGAGTGAGTGTTTATTATCCTATTGAAATCGTTGCTCACTCTGGCATTTAGTTAATAGTTGTTTTTCCCTTTGTAGTGTCTTTGTATTCTAGCGTTGCTAGGTCTCACTCTTGGCGATCTTTGGGTATGCCTCCAATCTATTCAGCCGTTGATTGTATCTTTCAGTCTTTGCCTGATTTTCTTTTCGCACTATGTGCGTTTTAGATAGAGGAAAAAAAAAATGCTGCAAATTTTGCAAGTATTTAAATTTCACATTAATTTTCCCTTCCAATAGGCGCATCAAATGAAGAGGCTGGAAAAAGAAATAAAAAGCATAAGTATGCACGGTTAAATTTAACAGGTAAGAAATTAAATTTTCAGCGAATATGCACGGTTCCAAACTGAAATATTATATTCTAAAAAATAGTATTAAAAAAAATATCACGTCCCATAAATATGACAGGCCTACCCGCCTAAACAGTTAGACCACCCACATAAAAATTTGAGAAAATAATTGGGTTAGTTTAGAATTCAACAGCAAATGCAGCAATATGTTCACATCATCGCCCATGGTCAAAATCTTGTCAAGTCGTCAATTCTATTTCTATGTTGCTGTTTTTGTATCTAAAGAAAGAAAAGAATACTGCATGGCATCCATGAAGTTCTGTGTTAACCTGAAAAAAATGAGCGGACATTAGATAATTTGTACTAAGTTAACCAACAGTGCACACTGAAAGTGATTCATTGAGCTCTAGATAGCAAGAATAACAATAATAATAAATTAAAATTAAAAAAATAAAGTGTAAAGTACAACCGTCGGAATTTCTCGGTTGACGGGTTTTCTTGGTTAGGAATTCACCGAAACTTTTCTCCGGGACAGGGATCAATTTCCCGACAATAGCAAGCGGCCAGCTGATAATTGGCAAGCATAAAACGATTGTAAGACCGAATACGTAATTCGAATATAACCAGAAATATTTTGTTAATGACTTGGTTACTGGATAGTTTTCAAAAATTTTAAAAAAATTATCCTGTTGATTTACATGAACAAACACGGATGCTAAGACTAATTGCATAACAACCTGACCAAACCAATAGCAAAGGAGACGAGCCAAAGTTTCCAACTGAGCCGAACAGTAGAAGCGAACTTGCCCAGAAAAAAGATTATGATAACCTGGATACAGAATGGGGCACAAGAGTACAGATGATAATTAAGAGGCTGAAAGGAAGTATCAAAGAGGTGATAAATAAACAAACAAATAAATAAATACATAAATAAATAAATAAAATTACCTGAAGCACCAACTCAAGTCCGACTATTCCCATGAAGAGATGGTTCTTCGTAACTCCTTTCCACACATTGATTCCATCCGGCTTTCGAGCATTGAATTCATTGAATATCTAATATCGTACGACAATATTATATTCAACCAACTTGCAAAAACTATATACATCTACTTGCAAAAGAAAAAGGACCAAGTGAATCTTCAACCAATATTGCACAATGGTATTGTATAAAGCTAGAAAAATCCAAACACTTGCCTGACAGAGTACGAATGCATTAAATATAAGCGTGTTCTTCACTTTGAAAGCATGATCACTCGAATCATGCTCCAGATTCAGGATGCTTCTTCCTCGAAAATTGAGGACTAAGAGTACAGTGACTTGATATGCAGCCTGCATTTAGTCAACAATTAAGATTTAAGATGGTAATGACACCTCTCAGGACAAAAAAGAAGGTTCCATACCTGAATTAACAAGTTCCTCCACATGATGTTTGTTATAAGTGGTTCCCTGGAAAATGAACAATCTCATGATCGTAAAATACTTGGAGCACTATTCAGTACACCAACAAAGTGATCCGCAAAGAGACAAAGTAAGATGCTATGAAAAAACTTGATCTTGTGCTCCAATTGTAAGTTGTTTTTGTGCTTTTGATTTTATGTAAGAAGAAATGTGATGTATTTTTAATGAGACACTCAAGTGATTTAATTTCATTGTTTTTAAATTGCAAGCTGCTGTTAAAGCAACTAAAGCACGAAGGTCTACAAGAAAGATAAGCGTAAATCCAAATCTTGCAAGTCCTGCATTCTGCTAAAAAGGAAGTAAATGAGTAATATTTAACTTAAAAATAATATTCACAAAAGCGCAATTGCAAAGAAATAAAGAGACGAAGACGTTCTCCACTCTTGGATATTTTTTCTTCTCTTTCCGTTTGCTACTTCATCATGACTCGTGCCGCACTAAGAGGTAGTCGACGTTTCTTATCTCAAACTTGAAAAGTATTCGTTCAAAACTTTGTATGCATAGAAATATTTTACAAATATTTTCCCACGTTAAATTAGTTTAGAAATATTTTTTAATGTTGGATTGAATTTGTTATCTAATATCACTCTATATATATCTCTAATTTATTTGGTATGTTTTATAGTTTAGTGATTTTTTTTTTTCTTACAACTAAAATAGATAAATACAAAATTGAAATATACATTATCTTATCCGACAAGAAAAATAAGAGGGATGGTTGTGAAATTGCATTTTACTGTAGTGTAGTTAATGAGGGAAGAAAATTGCAAAATCTAACCTTCTACCAACAGGATGCCTGCGCATCAGATGATCCGTAGGAGGCTCTGTGGCTAGCGCAAGAGCTCCTAATGTGTCCATAATTAAATTCACCCAAAGAAGCTAGACAGAAGAATTACAGTAAGGCAATCAATGTTTAACCTAAAATTTTCAACTAACAAATCGGAAAACAAATTGTATCCATCCATAATTGTGAAGAGAGAGATTATTACAGACCTGCACTGCATTGAGAGGGACATTACCAGCAGAAACTGCAGCCACAACATTTATGATTAAGGCCGCTACGTTAACTGTGAGTTGAAATTGTATGAATTTCTGAATATTGGCATAAACCGATCTGCCCCATCGCACAACCTGCAATGTGTACAATGTTTACATACATAACAGTGGTCTCAACTCCGAAACTTAATTAGGCTTTCACTAATAAGACGTTTTGCCCCGCATTGTAATTCTCGTTATTTCTGACACAAGTAAGACTTAACCACGTGGAATGATAAATATAAAAAATTATGACAAGCTAAAGAATTGCCACTTTATGATAAGAACACTAACCTTTACCACAGAAGCAAAGTTGTCATCCAAAATAATAATATCTGAACTCTCTTTTGCAACTTCTGTGCCCTGAATACCCATTGCTAGGCCGATATCAGCCTACAACATTAGAGCATTGAAAACCAGATCACATGAACTGGAGAAGCAAAATAGAGTACAAGAATTTATAAGAAAGCATGTATGTATAGAAATACATGTATATATATATATATATATATATATATATATATATAGAGAGAGAGAGAGAGAGAGAGAGAGAGAGAGAGAAGGAGTGGGGGGTCTGTCAAGCAAATAATTCCCATGCCTACCAGAAATGAAAGATCTCTACATGCCAACCAGAAATAAAAGATCTCTAGATGCAAATGCTTACTCAAAAATTCCCATAGCTCAGATATTTAAAAATATATTTATTTTATGTTCTACAAACATAAGTTGGAAAAGAATAATACATAAAGTTGACAACTATTTGACACGGCACAAAACACCGAGAGATGAATTAATCCAATACCCAAATTTCACCAATTATATTGAGACCCAAGTAAATTGGTATAGGGAACCAATGTGGAAAAAAAAAAAAGTTAAAGCATAAACCAAGATCCCCATGTACTTTACAGAAAAAAGTACAGCATATCAGAGAAATGAAAACCAGACCTCATGCAGTGCAGGAGCATCGTTAGTGCCATCTCCAGTGACAGCGACCACGTGTCCCTTCTTTCTAAGAGCTTGCACAAGCAATAATTTATCATTCGGTGATGACCTTCCCATTACCTGAACGTAATAATGGTGCAAAAACCCATTAGGACTAACTTAACAACCAGAAGTGACAGTTAACCAACAAATTCAACCACCCGAGTAAGTTTTCAGCTCATACCGATATTTTGTCTACCACTTCTAGTCTCTGCGTTTCAGTAAGATTACGAAATGTCCTCCCTTCGATAAGATCAGGCTCAGTGGCATCTGCATTTGAACCTAATACACCACACTCTAAAGCTATCGCACGAGCAGTCTGAAGGTTGTCTCCAGTGACCATTCGTACCTTGACATTAGTAAATCAGAAAACCAACATTAGCACACAAAGAGGAGAGAACAAGTACAATTTCAAAGAACAAACATCCATGACAAATCTCTACTATCTTAAAAGTGTGAAAGTTTTTGTAAAAATTTGGATAGACCAAATACCCTTTCTCTTTCAATGTTTTAATGGTTTAATTGTCATTGTCATTTGTTAGAAGTCCATTTAATGAGAGAGTAGTAATTATCCCTAATTATACAACCTTGAAAATCTCATGTATATGTACATTTATTTCCATTTTATATTTTAAGTATTTTATTTTTTTCATTTTTACTTTAATGAATATTTTATTTTGGTTAATGGATATTTTATTTTCTCATGAATTCAATTTGAGTTATAAATTATATTTTACTACTTATTTAACAATATGTAAGATAAAAATTATAAAAGAATAATATTTGAATTATATGTTAATTAGCACAAGTAATATAATATATCAAAAACGAGTTTAATATATTTGGGGAATAATAATTAATAATATTAGAACTGTTAGGAAATATTTATGGATTTAATTAACTAAAAAATAATGTTCAACATTTGTATTATAAAAGATATTACGAAATGCACAAATTTTAGTAAAATAATTAAAATAATATATTATTAAATAATAATAACGATTTGATTTTTAATTCATATTATTTTATAAGTTATTATTTACTTCGTAATTTTTAATGGCTAAAAATTTAGTTAATAATTAAAATAATATAAAATTAAATAATATTTTATTTTATTTTCATAATAACAAATTGATTTTTACCTTATGTTATTTTACAAGTTATTAATTACTTCATTATTTTTAATGGCTTACCATTTTGTTAACTTTCTAATTTTCTCCATTAAACGTTGGGTGGAAAAATTCCTTAAAAAAACAACACTAGAAATTTGCTAATAATAATTAATAATGTTATAACTTTTAACTTTTAGGAAATATATTATAGATTTTATGAACTAAAAAGAAATCATTGTCAGCATTTATATTATAAGAGTTGTATTTTTTTTTTTTTAAGTTCGCTTGTTTTTGTTTCAACCGAAACACATGAAGATGGAATATAAACGACTAAAGTGCAAAAGGCTTGTGAAATTTTTAACTAATACTAGCTTATCCACCAATAGAACGCACAAATAGTAGTATCATAATTAAAATGATGTATTATTGAATAACATTTTACCATATTTTAAAGTTGCTATTTAACTTATATTTATTAACTTCACACACAATTTTTATTTATGTTTACATTGTGTTACCCACTATGAGGGTCCAATCATATGTCACCATGTTACATATTTAAGATTTATCTGGAGTAAATAATAATTTTTCCTATTCTATTTTCTTATTTTTTTATATATGTACCAATATAAATATATTTAGAAATCATATATAAATTATTATGTAAATTTAGTTTAATTTTAAAATCTTAATGCCTTGTGTTTGAATAAGAATTTTATATAACTATACCTTTTTTTTTTATGTAGATTGACCGAAAAACTTGAAACATTAGAAATACTAAAACAATTTAAAGGGCATATCTATAGCACATGTCTATTATATTACACAATTATTTGCTTCTATATAAAAATGTATCTTAATTTTTGTATAATGTCATATTTATAATTTAATCATCCATATAAGACAATCATTTGTCCAAATTAATTAGTCATAACATTTTCTAAATATAGTGACATTAATGGATTGTAAAATCATGAATGCATTAAATTATGTATCAAATTAAAAAACGAAAAAAAAACTTTCTAATTTTCTCCAAAAATCTTTGAGTGGAAAATTTCCTTGCAAAAAATATAGCAATATGGAAATTGGCTAATCCTTTTATATAGATGTAAATTGTTGGTGTAATTTTTTTTATTGTATTAAAATTATATATATATATATATATATATATATATATATATATATATCCTACAAAAAATTTAATATGAAATAAACAAAATTAAGAGCAATGGTTGGTATCATCTATAATTTTGTAAGAATGAGATTACATTTCTAATTTCCATGTTTAGTTATCAACGTGGACAACTGTTAAATCATATTTCTCAATGAAGATACAAATAAATATTCTTTATAAGAAATTCATCCACATAAATACTTTTTACCTATCCTTACGTTAAGATGTTAAAATTCATTGTACTTTTACAGTATGCAAATATTATTCTATACTCTTAGATAAAAATGAATGTACCTAATTCACATTATTTATAATTAATGTTTAATATGAGCTAGATTAAGATGATTAATAAGTAACAAGTAATAAGGTAAAAAAGTAAATTAATTATTAAAATTGATGTGATGTAAAAGTAGGACAAAGATTATAAAAATGATATGTAGTTAAAATTATGCAAGTAGATAAATAATAAATAAAAATTGATATGATGCATGAGAATGATTGTTTATTTTTTATAAAAAGTAGGAGAGTTATGTTGAGTTTTATTTTAGTTAGATGATTGGATATGAAATAACTCAACCGATTATAACCGATTAAGACCGGTTATGACTCATATATAATCACACTATATATATATATATATATATATATATACTTATATTTAACTTAAAATGTGTATCATAAATAACATAATTCAATTAGACAAATTCGATGGTTCACGTGCGAAGCACGTGCACCTTACTAGTTTAAACAAATAGAAGAATATATGTTACTCTAATCTGATAAGGACAACACTGAAAGATCACAACTCATTGTACTGGGAGTACATTATGAAATCCCCACCCAATGAATGAAAAAATACTGAAAAAATACAGCCAAGGATGGAAATCAGGATGGAATGTGATTGAGAAAATTCATAATCCAATTGTTAAGAAACTTAGTATCAACCAATTTTGTCACTAAATGGACTTCAAATGTAGATATCCTTAACATTATCAAAATTCTCATAAAAAAATTAAAGAAGGGAATGGGTGGATGTACCTTAATACCAGCGTTGATGCATAGTTGAACAGCATCTTTCACACCTGGCCGACAGGGGTCCTATATCCAACATGCATTAATTTACAAAAACAGCCAGCACTGTGATATTTGAAAACAGATGAAAGTGAGGACACAGATTTTGACAATACGGGAGAAAATAGTGAAACTTTTGAAACTTTTGATGTAGTTAGAATTGATGAGATGATCTCCGATTTTAAGTAAAAATCTTGAAGCAGTTCATACAAACACTGCCTCAGATAATTTGTTTCAGGCTATTGGGAAAGATGATGGAAAATAACGAAGTATCTATAGTAGTGACAACTCGTTAACCGGTGGATAGAGTTGAAATTTATGGTAAATAAATGTAAACTCTATAAGCTGTTGGTGACTTAGTGGGAGATTTCGATTCATGATGCAAATGCCAAGAAGTTCTCCACACATGACATAGAAAGACGGCAAAATTAGTTTTACTGTAATGGAGAATTCAAATAATTCCTACAGAAACCAAAGCAGTTATACGGACAGAATGGAAATACCTTGATACCAACAATGGCTAACAAAATGAGATCACCCTCAGGGAACTGCCAATTCTCCAGTTCCTCGTCAGTAGTTGGGACCTTCTCCATTTCACACAACCTACAGGCGATAGCAACGCAGCGCAGGCTTCCTGCAGCCATATCTTCAATGGCTTTTTTATAAAAGGAAAGCTGCAGAAAACAATCGCCTTACAATAAAGCTCAACTGAAACTGAAAGTTATGCTAATGCTTGATAGATAAATGAAGTTACTTTCATCTTTAAAGAAATTTATCAACCATGGTAAGCAAGAGAATGACAATGTTCCAGTATCTTCACGATGACTTTCACACATAGAAATCAGTATGTGTAACTATGAACTACAAGATACAGTGAGTAGAGGGTGAAGGGATAGGATTAGATATTGAAAGAGCAAGAACAGATCTGAGCAAACCTTGTCTTCATCCATTGGGACCACACGGTCATTTGCATCAATGTGACTTGTACAAGAAGCGAGTACAATTTCTGCAGCCCCTTTCCAGTGCACATGAACTTTAGAGTCGGACTGTCAAAACAACCAATCTTACATTGAATCAGGAACAAGAATTTTAAGAGCTACTTATCTTCTTTCTGATACTTCAAAGTTCAAGTTGAGAAGGCCGAAGAAAACATAAACAAAATGTACATCGGAGTGAATGTTTCAATTACCAATTTCAGTGCAACACCACCTCGCTTCTTCTCCGAGTTAAATGGAAGAGCATGAATTATAAATGAATCTGATTGCACAGCACCAAAATCCATTCCAAGCTAAAGAACAAGATTTAAAAAGGC